AAACTGGCATTAGATGAGTCCCTGGCTGACATAACGGGTAAAGTAGCTAACCCTCCTCCTTTCCTTTCAATTGTCCCTCTCTATGTGGGTGCTTCCCACATCAGGGAGGTAGGGACCTGGAGGCCTACTTTCTCTCCTCCAGCGTCACATCTTAGAAGCATGGAGTTACTGCCCTTGGCGGGGGGAGCTGGGACTCAGCCCAGCCAGGGTGGGCGTCTCTCCTAGGTCCTGCACTTGGGAGCCAGGCCCTGCCATGCCTCAACCTCTTCCCTGCCCCACCATCACAGACACACTGAACATCAGGCTGGAAGGGATTTCAGAGAACATGAGGTCCAGAGAATCAAAGGTCCAAGGGGATTGGAGAGGGAGGCACCCAATGGCAAAAGTGGTCCTGGGCCCAGCCCAAGGGTTTTCCCATGCACCCCATAAGCCACGGCAAGGAATGGAACACTCCAGTCATAGCTCCTTTGGTCCTGCGCCATAGCTTCCGCTCAGGTCTTGACCACGTCCCACCTGGGCTGTCCCAGTAACTGGTCTTTTTTCCACCAATGCACCCTCCACACAACCAGAAAGTGATTGAAACATCAAAGCTAATCGTAAAGCCCTTTACCTACTAACTGCTAAATCAAGTCCCAATTTAACAATCCACAAGGATCTAGTCTCCTTCCACTTTAACCATAGCCTTTCTCCACCCCTCCGTTCTACAGTCTAGGAGAACCAAACCCTCTCATGCTTCCCTCCTCTTGCTCATACTCTGTTCCTCCACCTGATGCACTCAGCCTTGAAGACCCAGCACAGATGTCGCCCCTTAGGATAGCTTTCCTGATATCCTGGGGAAGTGAGTGTATCAGGTAAGAATGCTCCCAGCTGAAAGCAACAGAAAACCCAAGCAAAGGAGTTGATCCTGAGAGGAGATTTCTGCCAGGAGCGTCACCCAAGGAGCTTTTAAAAGTCCCCACCCACTGGACACAGGCCAGGCCAAGGTTAATCAGAATCTCTGTGGCGGGCGTGGGCACCAATAGTTTTCAAGACCTTCCCTCTTCTAATGTGAAGCCAAGTTGAAAATCACTGAAGCAGGGCTTTATTTTTCTCACATAAGGAAAGAAGCAGGCGGTTGCTCGTGTTGGTTGAGTGGCTCAGTGATATTCAGGCCAATTTCTCAGTGATACTCTTGACTTTTCCTTCCTGCTTTGTTCCCTCATGGTCACAGGATAGCTATGGTTGACCCTCCATGTTCAAAGCAGGGAAAAAGCAGTAGGGAGAAGGAGAGGGCTTAGTCCATCCTCATTTATAAACAAACCAAAGACAGTCCCAGAAACCCCTTCAGCAGACTTCCCCCTTAGATGTCCTTGAACTGGGCCACCCCGGCCACAAAGGAGGCTGGGAAAATGGGCAACAGAATTCCCGATAGACGGAGAGGACCAATCGGGCTCTATCAGGAGGGATGGAGTACATTGTTCCTCCCAAATCGGCGGGTGGTATAAAGAAGGAAATCAGGAACAGATATTGAAGGGGGCAGAATACGCCACCCCAAAATGTGCCACTTTGGCGTTAAGATTATTTTGAGCTCGGTTCACATAAAAAAACAACAGATGCAAGAAGGGTATTCTAGTCTCCCCCCGCCCTTTTCCTTCCCCTGAAAACAGGAGACAAAACTCCCATGTGAAAAATGTCCTCTCAGTACCAGGAGAGAAGGAACATTCGATGGGGAGTCAAAGCTGAGAGAATTCTGTACCAACAGACTTTGTTAAAAATAATTTTTATCCTTCTTGAGCCTCTCCATATATTGCCTCTCTTTATTCAACCTGGCATAAAAGTATTCGCAACTTGCCACTTTTTGGGGTCTTCATTTCCTTACAGGGCTCCTGGGTTGCATAAAGCTTACCTAAATATGTGTGCGCTCTTCTCCCCTTGATCTGTGTTACGAGTTCAGTTCTCAGGCCCCACTGAAAGGCCCTAAGAGGGACGAGAGAAAATGGCAACACGGAGTTGACAGCCAGCAGATCCTGCTCTCTCTGGGTCTGAAAGCTCCTTGGACACACAGCAGACATCACGGGAACGCCTGTGGAAACACGTATCAACATGTCCGCATCTTCCTTCCAGACTGGCTGTTCCCAGCTGAACATGAGAACCACCTCAGGAGCTTTTGAAAAATATCGGTGCTTAGACCCCCCCCCACCAGCCACAGAGAATTGAATTTAATGGATGCAGGTGAAGAACAGGGTCTGTGTCCCCTTTAATGAGCACAGTTCTTGGAACGCGAGGCCCACAGGAAATCCTCGCTGAAAGGAGGAGGGAATGGCAGAGAAGAAATGCTGCCCCAACCTTGTTGACCCCCAGCCTGCACTGAGCACCTCCCTCGTGGTTCCCCCTTCCTCTCCATTCCTTCTCTGCTGAGCACAGCCCTTGGCCACCCTCCATTAGCCACACGTATGCTCCAGGGGGACTCTCCAGTCTACGCACACTGCCTGCTTCTTCTCCCGCCGCCATGCTGGGCACCCCAGGCGCTCTCGCTCTCTGTAGCTGCCCTCCTCTGAGAAGGACATCACTCTGTCAACAGCCAGGCTCACTTCTTGTGTCTTATTTAGCTAAACTCCTGCCTGGCGTGAGAGGAGAACAGCGTGAGGGGTAAGCTTCCAAATGTTTGCTCTTCCACGTTCAGCCACAATCCCAAAATGGACGCCCTAGTTTTCAGTGGCAGCAAGCCTAGTGAGCAACTTAACAAGGAACCCACAGACAAAATTTTCGCTGCTTCTGCCCAAGCGTAGAACATGCATCTTATCTGATTTCTTGGACAAGTGTGAGTCTGAGAAATGCCTCTGCTGATGTCACAGCATGAGTCAGTGGTGACTGTCTCCAGAGATGATATCATCCGATAGCAGATTCGGGCCCCATGGCGCTTCTGAAACTGCTTGATCAAATGTCACCTCCAGGGCCAGCTTCATGGGAGCGCGGCCTCTACAGTCCCACAGAGTCCCGGGCCCTGTGTTGAGGAGGGTCCTACGTTTGGTTTTACAATCTGCTTTCGCCATCTCGAAATTCTGAACAGTTTTTGAACTGTTTTCATCTTGCACTGGGCCCTGAAATTACGGGTCAGCTTCTGGTCTCTCATCGTCTCTTACAAAATCCAGGGAGGTTTTCCTTCTTAGAAGGGTCTCCACAGCATATAACCTCAGCCTCCTGGGACGCCTGGGTGGCTCAGTGGGTTGGGCATCTGTCTTTGGCTCAGGTTGTGATCCCAAGGTCCTGGGATCAAGTCCTGCAACAGGCTCCTTGCTCAGTGAGAGCCTGCCTCTCTCTCTGCTCCTCCCCCTGCTCACACTCCTGTGTGTTCTCTCTCTCTCTCTCTGATAAATAAATAAATAAAATCTTTTTAAAAAGAAAAGAAAGGAGGGGACACCCCACTCCCCCATTCTCTTTCCCTGCTTTAGGAGAAGGCACTGAAACAGGGTTGCTTGGGCTGCAAATGATGGCTGAGATCAAGAGGCCCAGGGGAACAAGCCCTCCCCAGCTCCCAGACATGAGCGAGACTTAAAAAGACCAACTTGGGAGCCCAGGGCTTCAGCAAACAAAGACAACCGGAGTCAGCTCCAGCCCAAAACAGAAAATCAACAGGAAAACTTGAGGGGATCATATCAACCTTCAGACACCTGGAAGAAACCCTTCCAAGCCCTGGAGGGGCCAGCCACTGTCTGTGCAGATAAATGAAAACTGAGCCCCAGTGCCCTCTACTAGGCCCCAGCACTGGGAGGAGCCTGGAGATGAAGTCCTCCGGAGAAAGATAAGTTTTCCAAGGAAAAGGCTGAGGAAGTTCATTTACCACCAAAGAAGGTGGCCCAGGGCACAGTAGAAGGACAGGAAAGGAAAGTGGGGGCAGGACGGAATTGGGGGAGACAGCTGCTGGAGGCAGTGGATGTGAGATGGGGCCCACTCTAATTCTGTCCCCTCACCCCCACCCCAGGCCTGCCAAGCCGGGATCTGCTGGACCAGGCTCTTTGTAAGCGGCAGAGGTTCTAGAAGGCAGAATCTCAGCCCTGGCTCAGAAAAGAGGGACAGAAGATGACAATGTCAAGGCCTTGGGAGGGGAGCCCAAGACAGAGAAAGGAATTGGGGCCTGGCCTCCCCACGGCAGTGTTCATCAGGGTCTAGGATCTGCCCTGTCTTGGCATCTCCTGGCCAGGCCATGGCTCAGGTATCTGACACCTGGGGCCCAGAGTCACATGCCAGGAAACCGGACACTCTTGGGCCCCAGCCCCCGATTTCCAGCAGCTACAAGAACACAGGGTTTCTGGAGGAAGAAGCAAGTCTCCGGAGTTGGGCAGCAGGGAGACAGACTACTTCCGGGGAGAGGACACTCAGGAGAAGGCTCTCCCACCAGCAGGGGTGAGAGGTTAAGAGGAGGAGGAAGCAGGTGGGGTGGGGGAGAGAAGAGTGGGGTGGAAAGGACAAAGCTGGGGCAGGTGGAGGGGTGGGTGCTCCAGAAAAAGGAGGAGAAGGGCAGAGAAAGCAGGTCTTAGTCACCTAGCCTAGCTGAACACCCTGAAATCCAATCGCTGGTCTGTCTTCCTTGTCCCCTTCATATGAGTGCCAGCCTGGCCCTCTGGTGCCTACGGGGCCCACCCAGCTGGGCTGGCAGAGAAAGACTTTATTCCAACAAGAGAAATTAGTACATGGGTAGAAGCAGAGACATAGAAGCCCCCAGACCCAGAGTGACCAACAGGGTCTTGGACCAAGAGACTAAGAGATTAACCTTCCAGAAACCAAGAGATACTAGGAGAATCTCAGGCCCAGGGGACCTCTTACCCAAAGGGCCTGAAAAAGGAGACTTAAACCCCAAAGGAGAAGCAAAAGTCACCCAGACCTGAGTGAACACCCAAAGGGAGGTCCCAGCACTCAGAGTCCCCATGGCAGACCTCCAGAAGAGAGAGCTGACAGTGGGGAATGGAATTCTCTTGACTCATTCTTCCTTCATGGGGCTTCTCTTCCCCAGCTCCTCCTACTCCACTCCAGGACTATGCCAATCTTTAGCCATGCTCCTGCCAGCTGGTCACCTGCTGTCTCTCCTGCTGGTGATAGGCCCAGGTGGCACGGAGTCTGGTCCCCGGGCACCTCCGCAGGGCTGTTATGCGGCCGAAGAAGCCGGTGAGCGGACGTTCCGTTGCAGCCAAGCAGGCCTGAGCGCGGTGCCCACCGGCATCCCCAACGACACGCGCAAGCTCTACCTGGATGCCAACCAGCTGGCCTCGGTGCCAGCTGGAGCCTTCCAGCACCTGCCTGTCCTGGAGGAGCTGGATCTGTCCCATAATGTCCTTGCCCACCTCTCGGGGGCCGCATTCCGGGGCCTGGCAGGCACACTGCGCCACCTTGACCTCTCTGCCAACCGGCTGGCCTCGGTGCCCGTAGAGGCCTTCGTGGGCCTGCAGATCCAAGTGAATCTGTCTGCCAACCCCTGGCACTGTGACTGTGCCCTCCAGGAGGTGCTCAGGCAGGTGAGGCTGGCCCCGGGCACTGGAACAGGCATCGTGTGTGGCCCCGGAGCCCACCCGGACCTTGTGGGGCAGGAGTTCCTGCCGCTGGCAGGGAAGGAAGAGCTGTGTGGGCCTGGGCGTGGCGGGGCCCAGCGGAGCACCGACGTGGCCCTGCTGGTCACCATGGGGGGCTGGCTGGCGCTGGTTGGGGCTTATCTGGCCCACTACGTGTGGCAGAACCGGGAGGAGACCCGACATCCCCTCAAGCAAGCCCCGGGGCTGCCTGTGCGCTCACAGGACTCCTCCACACTCAGCACGATGGTCTGAGGACCGGGGCCACCCATTCAGGCCCCTCTCAAGACCTGGCCTACCCTCCACCCCCTCTGCCCTCTCTTTTCCTCTGACCCTCTCTGCCTCCTCCACAGTCCCGTCCCATCCCCCAAATCCCACCCCCCTTCCTCTTCCCTAAAAACCCAATTTCTCACTGTCTCAACCCACACCCTCTGTGGTGCCTGGAGTCTTTGGTGCCTACCCTGTGTCTGAATTGTGCTAGACTCAGAGACCCAAAGCTCCCAAGTCTTCATTGAGGGAGGTGGGAGGCAGCAGAACAGACAATGACAGTGCCCACTCAGAGCCCGGGGCAGGCCACTGTAGGAACACTGAGGAGGAAGTGATTGCCAAGCTTCACTGTGTGGATGTTTGAACTGACTCTTCAAGAAGGAGAAGGGCTTTGGGCAGAAGACAGAGGATGCCGGGTACCAGGTGGTGGACAAAGGCGAAGAGGGTGCAAACAACTTGGAAAGCATGGGCAGCAATCAGACAACTCTGGGGTGGAGGGCTGGAGTAGAGGGTGCAGAGAGAGGCAAGGAGAGGCCGAGCTCTGTGGGTTCCTGCTCTCCTCTCTCCACCTCTCCTGAGAAGCTCCCCCCTCACTTTCTGCCTCTCTCTCAGCCCCAGGCTCGTCTCCCTCTGTCCTCTCTTGGGGACCCTCCTGGCTTAGGGGGCCCTGCTTCCTTTTCCAGAGATGCTCCATCTCGATGCTCTCTCCTTTATACACTGACAGGCTTTCTGAACCCTTTCCCTTGGGAGAAGAGTGGCCTCTTCTATCTCTGAGCTAAAGATGGATCACTGGGAACTAGAGGGGGATGGGGACTAGGAGGTCTCCCACCCCAAAAATATCCCTGGACAACTCAATAAAGTCACTTTTATGAAGGCCCCAATCTCTTCCTTATTGTCCATCTCATTGAATGTGTGTGGCCTGACAATGAGGAGTGGGAGGGTGTTGAGCTCTTTACCTGGTGGTGGACACTCCCACTGGGCTGGATGCCATCTCCTCTCTCCCCTCCCACCTCCCAGCTCCTGACACCAGAGTCTATCTGCTAGGGATGCCAGGGCCTATGAATTAATGATGATGGAACCAGAATGGAGGAGGGGAGGAGGCTGGAGGGGGGATGAAGGGGAGGGGGGAAGAGGGCAATGTCCAGGCATCAGTCATCAGCTGGTAGCCTCCAACATGTTAGATGGGGCATAGGAAGCAAAGGGAGAGAGAGCTATTCCCCTCTTAGCAATCTGTCTTTTCTCTCAGTGGGAGTCTGAGCAGGGGGTACAGAGAAACTAGATGTGCTCAAAGTTAAGGAAAGAATTCCTGGGGTAGCAGAGACCAAGTTGGCTAAAAGAGGTGGACCCTATGAGATATCCCTATCACCAAATGGGCTTCTCAAGGGACCAAAGAGGTCAATGTACCCCATCCCTTGCCCCCATGTAGGATTATCTTCCCATAGGGAAGCTCATGGAAACCCCAATAGAGGCTGAAAATAAAACCACTGAACCAGGGTTCCACCCAGTTTGGGGCAGAGCCTAGAGTAGATGGGGCGGACACTCAAGGAGAAGCACAGAGGAACCCATCACCTCCCCATTCCTCTGACCCACCCTGACTTCCCTGTCTCCTCTCCAACAACCCCACCCCTCCTCTTGCCATCTCCAAGGCTCCCTCCACCCCTCCAAGGCTGAGCTCCCTCGTATCATCCAGAGAGCTTCAACCTGACTCATCTCAGAAACACCTGGGACCCCCACCCCATCCTCTTTTCTCAGGAGACATGGGCCTCCCCAGTTCCAGGGATGCACTGCGGTGGGGAAAGAACGAGGGTGTGGGAAGTTTCAGGCTGCAGTTCAACCTGCACCCCAGCCACACCCTGGCCTGGGCCTTGGAATCTTGGCCCCAACCCCATCAAACCCTCCATCAGTTTCTCCCCTGCCACTGTCTGTCTCTCTCTGCTCACTTACCCATTCCTGAAATCAGGCTGGGACACCTCTCACTGGATGCTGGGAAACAGACCATGTAGACCCTCAGGAGTGAGAGGCTGGGGGACAGATGAAGCCCTGAGACTTTGTCATCTATGCCGATCTCTGGAGCCTCATTTGACTTTCTGTCATCCTAAGCAGCAGAAACAGCATCTATAAGATCTGCAGAGAATTGGTTCCCTCATCTGGACACCTAACACCAATTCCCTGAGCTAAGCTCAGGATAGGAATGGATCCAGGGAGGAAAGTTTGCCTGGAACCCAGGTCAGGAGGGGTCCTAGATCCCTGGATAGCAAAAGCGATCTACTAGTTCTCCGCATGGCCCCCTCTGGCTCAAATTCCTTTCCCTCTTGGGACCTAGGGCAGGAGAGAGGGGACAAGAGGGGCAAAGATGGGGGATTGGGGAGGTGTCAGGGAGAGACCCCTTCACCCTCCTCAGTTGGGGTCCCTCAGTTGGAAATTGGTGGGAGGGGACATGAGAGGCTATAGCTTCAGCTCAGTGCATTACAGGACACCGGACAGAGCGGGCCTCCACACACTCGGAAATGCTCCCACCTGGAGCAACAGTGGCTGAACCCCTAAGCCCTTCCCTCTGAACGCTGGCCTCTGGGTCGTACTTGTCCACTGGGCCAGCAGGAAGGGGTGGCATAACCGGTTTCTCCCCCATCCTTCTCTCTACCGGGAACCAAGGATCATAGGACCTGTGTTCTGAGATGCCAAGCAGGCAGCTGGACAGTTTCATTTTTGCTGGCTGCTTCTTGCCCTTCTGGCTGGTACAGATGCACTCTGTCAAAACCAACACTCCCACCGGGATGTGCGGGAACCAGGAACAAAGCTGCCAGGAGCCAAGAGAGCCCGGCCAGATATTTGGTGCAGAAGAACCCAGGAGGTCTGGGGCAGGACGAAGCTTGGCATCCACATGCAGGCTTCTGGAGCCGGCAGGCTGTAGGTAGGGGTGGGAGAAGAGAAGTCCCTCACTCAGCCCTCGCAGCACCAACTTCTTCCGGCCCTGTGGAGCAGGAGCCTGGAGCGGCCCTGAGGGAGCTCCCAGTCTGAGGGGGAGAGACATTAACCTAACTCTCAGGGAACCCCCGGACTAATGGAAGAAACAGGATCTTTTCTCTTTGGGTAGCTCTGAACCTGGGGACACCAAGACCTACCCCAGACACAGAGACTTGAGCATCTACAAAGCCTCGTTATCCACAAGAGGAAGTGAACAGGGAGCCAACTGTGGGTACCCGGGAGTTAAGGAGCACCAGGTGGGGCCCAGCCCTCACCCTTCCTGTCCTGGGCTCACACACGGACATTTGAAGTGCAACACTGAGCTCTCCTACAGAGGGAGGGCATACCAGCCTCAAATCCAGAAGCAAGCCAACAGCTTGCTCCAACAGGAGGGCTGCAGTTCCTCCATCAGACAAGAGGAGCTCCGACTACAAGGGGTTTCCCCTCATCTTGCAGGGACTTTGTCACCAGCATCCTCACTGCCTGTGAGGAACCATGTCCCAAACCAGGAAGGCAGAAAACCAAGCAGAGTGAGGCCCCAAGCTGCCAAAAGAGATGCCACCACAAGCCCATTCATTCATTCGACATTTATTGAGTTACTACTATGTGCCAGATACAAAGATGAGGCTTTCCCTCCCAGCTCCATCCTCTGCCCAGTTCCCCTATCTTCAGCTGTTCCCCAACCACCCGTGGGGCTCTCCTGCTCCTCTATCACAGCCACTCATAGTGACAGGAGGTGTCCCTTTGCCCCCCCCCTCCACCTCAGGATCCTCAGTGCCCATTGGAAACTAAGGAGCTGAGCCCCCCAGGCACCCCCCACACCAGACCTGCCCTGATCATCTTCCCCTGGAGAAGGGTACCTGAGGGAGGGCACAGGACGCCAAGACCCAGAAGGGGGCCTCTGTGCCTGGGGGTGGGGGACCCGCTGAGTGAAGTCGTGCCCAAGCAGGTGGAGCGGGGTCCTGGTCACCACTGTCCTGCACCCAGTCTGGGCCTGAGCCGTGAGCACACGGAGTTTCAGGCACTGCAGGTCGCGGGGGAGGAAGAGCGTGGAGGAGTAGCGGCTGGCGCTGAAAGGCCTGACCCGGGGACAACGGCCGCCCAGCTAAGGCGTGGTGCTGCGGGAGAGGGGACCCGGCAGGGGCGGGGCGGAGGTGCGGGGGGCGGGTCCGGGCCGGGTCCGGGCCGGGGCGAAGCGAGCGGACCTTCTCAGGCGGGGGGGCGGGATGGTAAGGGAGATCTGCTCGGGGCTGGAGTGGTGGGGCCAGACTGTGAGATCCAGGGGTGGGATCCGGGTGGAGATGACAGGGGTAGGGGCGAGGCTTGTAGGGAAGGGGCGGGGCTCGCTGGCCTGGGCGGGGCTAAAGGAGGCTGGGGCGCGGGCGCGCTGGAGGGGGTTGACGAGCCTGCCTCTCCAGGAAGATCTCAGCGCGCTGGAGGGAGGCTTCTTTAAGCTAAGCGATACCCTGGGGCCCTGCTCTGAAGGCGTCTTCTCTCTGAACCGGGAGAACACTTCCCCTCAGGGATTTTCCTGTCTCCCAACTGCAGGAATACCTAGCTGATCACTTCCCATACTCTGCCAGGTGGATGGGCCTCTGGATCTTAGTGAACCAGAGATTCTAGGGATCCGAGGGGCAGGACTGGGGACTCAGTCCTCTGAATGACTGCAGGAGACTTCTAGTAAACCGAACCCCGTACTGGCTGGGTACATGGTCTACCTACTAAGGGCTCTGCCTGGTGAGGGTCTGGAGCAGGGTTGGGGTCCCTCCCTGATGTGACTGACAGGTCTCCTGGCTTCGACCAAATGATACCAAGCCAGACCTGCAACGTGCAAAATGAAAACTACAGTTCTTGCTTAACATTATTAAGAATTTTATTCTGCCAGCTGTGTCTGTGCAGAAAGAGTTCCTTCCTGACGGAGCAGGTGAGAGGCCTGGGGGTTGCAGGACAGGTGTGAGGGCTGACAACTAGAAGGGATGCAAGAGCTCATGCAGTTCCAGCCCGTCAGTCACAGATGATGTCTCCGGCCAAGAGAAAGAAAGGTACTTCTCCAGGGCCACACAGCAGGCTCCTAGCGGAGCTCTCTATGGAATTCAGGTCTCCAGACTCTTAATCTGTGTCCATTTCCTCTCAACTCTGGCACTAATGGGCAGAGGGGGTAAAGGGTGGGGGCAGGGGCAGAAATTTAAAATTTTACTGCAGACCACCTCTGAGACTGGGGCTTCCCCAAATTCAAATCATCCCATGGTATTTATTCTCTATTGTGCAGATGAAGACCTCCCTGGACTAGAATTTCATCTAGGGGGAGGTAGGGCTTTTCTGTCTTCACTTCAAGCTGCTCAGGGACTTTCAGATCAGAGCTGAAAGTGACCCAGGCCCTGGTAGGATTCTGCAGCCTTGGCATACCAAGGGATGGACCCCTCTATACCAGGGTGCACAACATCTTGTCATCACTCTGTGCCCCCTCTGCCACCCCTTCCAACCTTCAGGTGCATGCCAAGAACACCTGGCTTTCCCTGACCAGGACAAGGGAAAGCAGAGTGGGTCTTGCATAGACCCAAGGTCTATGAGACCCAAATGAGAGGCACTTCGGCTCCAAGTTCTCTTGGAGGCAGACCTACAAAGGCTCCATCTGGGACCCAGTATCTTTTACAAGGATCTAGGGGCTCTGTCCCATCAGGAGGGCCCTAACAATCATAGCTGAGGAGGAAAGCTTCTCTTTCATCAACCATGAAATGGACAGGAGCTCCAACACCTGCTCCAGCTGCATCTCCAGGGGCTCAGGAAGAGCTGGGGTTCTTGGCGGGGGGGATCAGCTGACAGAGGAGGCATCTGGATTTGGGCTGGAACTGGCTGTGGACTCCTTGCCCATACCAGCCTCATGGGTGGAGGCATCAGCAGTGGAGGGCTGGGGACAGCGAGGGCTGGGGACAGCAAGGGCTGACACCTTGAAGTTTGACACACTTCTTTAGTTCTTCAGCATGACTTTGAGTTGAACATGTGTCACAAGACTTTGTCTACTCAGCCAGGAGTTTGGAGGTCTCTGGGCTCCAAAGCTGATTTGGGAATTTGGGAAGAAATCTCAAAGTAGGGGCACCTGGGTGGCTCGGTGGATTGAAGCCTCTGCCTTCAGCTCAGGTCATGATCTCAGGGTCCTGGGATCGAGCCCCGCATCGGGCTCTCTGCTCAGCAGGGGGCCTGCTTCCTCCTCTCTCTCTGCCTGCCTCTCTGACTACTTGTGATCTCTCTGTCTCTGTCAAATAAATAAATAAAATCTTAAAAAAAAAAGAAATCTCAAAGTATTTTAGGGAATAAGAAAGGATTCTGTGGGGGGTCACCTGGGTGTCTCAGTCGGTTAAGCCTCTGCCTTCGGCTCAGGTCATGATCTTGAAGTCCTGGGATCAAGTCCCTGCTCAGCAGGGAGCCTGCTTCTCCCTTTCCCTCTGCCTCTTCCCTCTGTACATGCTCTCTCTCTCTCAAATAAATAAATAAATAAATAAATCTTAAAAGAAAAGAAACTAAAGGATCCTGGGGGGGTTATTTTGTTCAGAAAGGAGAATTTATGGAAGCATAGCTCACAACCTGCAATCTGAACCCCAAAACTTCCAACCTCCAGTAGGCAATATAAACTGCAATGTCGCTGGGACATGTTCTTCCTGCCCCTCCATCTGACAGTCACGCTTCCACTCCAGCCTATCTTCCTCCCTAGTCGGTTTTTACTCAGAGAGGGTCTGGCAGTATATCTGTGCTAGCTGTTTCCCATTCTTGCCAGGATCAGTACCTTACACCCTTCTGAACTCCACTAGCCTATTCCCTTTCTATCCTTTTTGGCCCCTTCCTATAGAGAAAATTAACAATAGTAAAAGGAAAATGGATATGGAAATAACAGCCTGTCCTAATGTCTGCGTTTGCAGTGCACTCTATGGGTCAGAGAGACAGTCAGGTTCCTAGAGAACAGATGGCTTCCTCCCCTAGAACAACTCCCTTCCCTGATCCCCATTTTCTAGCAACTACACACAAATCACAAGCTTAGTGCCCACATTAGAAATGATTATCGCGTTACCTCCCCGGAGTGACCACCAGAGGGAGATAGAGAGCAGAGCTTGCTGCCTACAACAGCACCACGCACCACCCGGCCTCCTGTTTTCAATAAGGCACTTTTAATCCACCCAAAGAGTTCTTACGAATTAGTCTAAATTAAATCTCTTCCAGCACAATTTAAATTATATCCCAGATTCCCCTGATGGTAAACCAAGACTCCTAGGAGAAGGAGCCTCTGAACTCTAAAGGGATTCTCAGGCCTATCCCTAAGACTATGAGGAACAGGGACAGGAGAAGTAACAAAAAGATGGGGTATCCCGAGTGGGTGGGAGGAGCAGCGCAGGGACAAGACTGACATAGATATTTTTATTCCAAAAGCACAAGATCTTCAACTTGGCTGATGCCGCAAACCCTTATTTCTTCTTTACCTTGAACCCTCCAAGCTGCCTTCTTGGAACGTCATGAGGCCGTTTGGGGGATGCTGCAATGGGACAGAGGTGGGATAGGGTGGCACAAAGAGAACAAGTACAGGCCTGGTAGAGTCCAGAGTGAATGAAGGAGGGTGAGAGAAATGAAAGGAGCAAAAATTCCGGGTCAGAAGCGAGAAAGCTGGCTAAATGGACTTCTGAGGTCCTCAAAGAGAACAGATACACATGGGGCTTCTCCAAATCACCAGTCTCCAGGTCTTTGGAGGGTGACCCAGGCTGGAAACTTTGGCCTGCAGCCAGTGGAAAGAGGGTAGACACCAGCGGGAAACTCCCAAAAGTCTCACTGAGGCAATGGTGGGCCAGTGGGAGGGTGGGGAGTGGGGCCCTTCTCTGGAGCTGATTAAAGGATGAGAGACCACACAGCCCAGGATGACATGCTCGATGACAGTGGCATCACATCAAAGCACTGATTAAGAGATACAGAAAGGAAGACACAAGTAGAGATGGAACAAATATAGCACATACACCGATTTCTGCGTACATGTGCCCATGTGACAGGGACCAAGTGACTAATGACAGCCTTCCCACACATCCAAGCCCTTGGTTGGAGCTATTGAAGGAGGAACTACTAGATAGTCACACAAGGCCTGGGGGATAGGAAGGAAGCTGAGCCAAAAGATGGGGGCAGGAACCAGAGACCCCGGAGGTTTTGTTTTATGACACAGAGAAGAGAGATTTGAGAGCATCTGTCATATTGAATGATACTTTGGAGACAATGGTATAATTCGTTTTTTAAGGAGTTTTGCCAAGCGTAGTGTGGTCTGATCTTTACATTCACCACCAGCCCCTCAAGAAAACCTCCAGTAAAGATCTAACTTCTCTTCATCTCATGGTTTTCTTTTTCAGAAACAGAGAGAGAGGGGCGCCTGGGTGGCTCAGTCAGTTGAGCATCTGCCTTTAGCTCAGGTCATGATCCCAGGGTCCTGGGATCAAGTCCCGCATTAGGCTCGCTGCCCAGCGGGGAGTCTGCTTTTCCCTCTCTCCCTGCCTCTCCCCCAGTTTGTGCTCTCTCTTGCTCACTCTGTCTCAAATAAGTAAATAAAATCTTTTAAAAAGATGGAGTCTACGGCCATACCACCGTGAACACGCCCGATCTCATCTAAAAACATGGAAAAAGAGAGACAACGGAGTGCGGAGAGGGCAGGGGGAGGGGAAAATCCTAAGCAGGCTCCATGCCCAGCTCGATCTTACCACCCGAGATCATGACTTGAGTCAAAATCAAGAGTTAGACGCTTAACAAGCTGAGCCACCCAGGCGTCCCTCTTCCTAGTTTTCAAGTCTGCATTTCTTTTTCGATGAGTGGTATATGAGAAGAGCCTCCAAGTTAGAGTATGAAAACAGACTCAGTTGTCTGATATGTCGGGGTATTGTTGATACATATCCCAACACTATAGGAGTCTTGCTTGGAACTGTCTTGATTTGTCATCTAGAAACCTGGCCAGGTGCATCAAGTCTCCTTTAAAATTCCTATCAGGGGGCACCTGGGTGGCTCAGTGGGTTGGGCTTCTGCCTTCTGCTCGGGTCATGGTCTCAGGGTCCTGAGATCGAGCCCCGCATCGGGCTCTCTGCTCAGCGGGGAGCCTGCTTCCCCACCTCTCTCTTCCTGCCTCTCTGCCTGCTTGTGATCTCTCTGTCAAATAAGTAAATAAAATCTTTGAAAGAAAAAAAAATTCCTATCCGACACAGTCTTCAGAACAGCTCCCAAGACGGCTGTACCCTCTAGCCTTGTCACTCACTCTGCTCTGCCACTGCACGTCTTCAGCACGTCGGCTCCTCAACACCCCGGAAACCACTTGGTCTATCTCCATCTCTGCCTACACAGACATAGGTGGCTAGCGGTGCCATCGACACATCTTTGTAGCTAAAACAAAGGGCAGGAGGGAGTGACGTGCAGACAGACCAGCAGAAAGATAGAGGACAACTTTTCAGCCACTCTGCTTTCGATTGGAATCTGTGGACATACAGGATTTCTTGCCCCCTGATCACGCCCACAAGGCCTCATCATGAATCCAAGATGCTTCCCAATGACCATGCTCTTGACAGAACAGAGATGCCTTCCCTCAGCACATGTCCATGTACAGACGCACACACCTCCCACTGCCTCTCGGTGGCCTCTCTCCCAAAGGTGTCTTCCTTCCTCTCCTCTCAACCCAGTGAGCCAAGACTCAGTGGCCACCTGTCTCTGGTCTGGCTCCTTCCACCCACGCTGGCACCTGCCAGGGAGCTCCCCGCCCCCGCAGCCCTCAGGAGGCCAGGGCCCAGGGCCTGGGGCAGGGCACGCATGGAACAGGTTGATGCTGTTCTCCTGGAAGTAGAGCAGGAGAGGGGTGGGGTCACGGGGCAGGCGGGGTCCCTGGAAGCCTACATCCTTGCCTCCAGAGAGGCATAAAGCTGTCGCCCATGCTGGAGAGGGACAGTAGCTCCCTCCACCTGCAGACTGAGCGAGTCCTCGGCCCTTATCCCTGATCTGGCTGCTGGACGGGACCTGAAACGGCTGTCTGGTAAGAGCTTGATGACAGCAGGGGAGGTGGGGGTGTTCTAGGGATGAATGAGAACATGGGTGGGTAGGGAAGGGCCTAGGAGTCCCCTAGAGCCCGGGGAGAACATATCTTCATAAGCCTTGCAGGGAGAAGTGAGAAGTGGTCCTGGGAGCCCGTCTCTGGTAAGGAAGAGACAGAAGTTTCCTGATCCCTTCCCACAGGCATCTGACTGGCCCCTGGAGGTTGTCCTGTCCTATCCCGGCCCACCCGGGAATGAGGGGTGAAAAAGGCACCTTGGAGCCCATGTGATTGGCAGGTGGCCCAGGCACCTGCTTGTGTGCCTCCCGCTTCTCTGACTCTGTGAGGGGCCCATGGGGGCAGTGAGGGCAGTTCCAGGCTAGCTGGTGCGTCCTCTCCCACCCACGGCTGGGCCATGGAGCCACCCAGCCAAAGAACCTGGACTTGAACCTCTAAGGCTGGGACCTGAGGCTCTGAAGTTCAGGCTCTTGCAGACCCCACATTCTCCGGGGCCCTCGCACCCCAGTATATGTCTCCCAGGGCCACGTTCATTCATTCATTTCCTCATTCATTCTTTCCACACAACATCTGCCAGGCTCTAGGCCTGCACCAGGTGCTGTGCTCGGTGCCGACGCTGCCTAGATGACTAAGACTCGTTTCCTGCCGTCTGGGAGGCCACAGTCGAGTAGGCGAGAGCCAGGAGAACAGATCATAACAACACGAACAACATCAGGTTGCAGGTGTTTAGGAACAACATCAGGTTGCAGGTGTTTAGGAAGGGCGCGTACAAAGGGCTCTGGGGACACAGGATAGAGTCACTAGCTGCCTAAAGGGGAGGGAGAAGGGATCCACAAAAGAGGTGACCCAGATTGAATCTTAGAGGGATGAATAGGGATTCTTTAGATTGGAAGGGAGTGTACTAGAAGCAGAGGGAGCCAAGGCAACGATTGAAATGCCTGGGTGTACTGGGTGGCCCCTGGCAGGAATTGGGTCTGCTCTGAGGCAGGAGCCAGGGGGTGGGCACAAGGGAAGTGACCTCCACCCAAAGAAGGGGCAACAGGGCAGGCGAACCTCGTCTGCCTCCTCAGGCCCTCGGCACCAGTGGGGGCTGCCTGCCTCCCCGGACTCCCCGGTTCCGGCCGTCAGAGTTCTCTGGGGAAAGGGAAGCTGGGCAGAGCTGCATGGGAGAAGCTTGACTTCCCTCACGCGTGAAACGTCCCAACCCCGGCTCCAAGTTCAAGTTCGTGAGGGACATGAATGAGCCATGCGCAAAGCGCCCTTGACAGGCAAGGCCTGGCTTCTCTATGCAGCCGTGTGACTTCGGACAAGTTGCCTCAGCTTTCTCAGCTGCTCTTCCTCCTCACAAAGTGAAGGCTCCTTGCATTGCTTTCAGCTCTGACATTCCTAGAGTCCCAGCATCTTTAAAGGCACCCCCTCCCCCAAAGCCAGGTGATCGCTCTCAGCCGGAGCCCTTACCATGTCCCGGTCTCCCAGCTTATCACTCTCCTGTCTCCCCCCAAAACCCGACCCTGACAGAGAAAATGACCATCTTTGAAAATGTCACCCGAGCCCTGGCCAGACAGCTAAACCCTAGAGGGGACCTGACGCCCCTTGACAGCCTCATAGACTTCAAGCGCTTCCATCCCTTCTGCTTGGTGCTGAGGAAGAGGAAGAGCACACTCTTCTGGGGTGCCCGGTATGTCCGCACTGACTACACCCTCCTGGACGTTCTAGAAGCTGGCAGCTCGCCTGCAGGTCAGTGCGGGCGTGAGGCTGGGCCCCGATGGGTGGGCGCCAGGTCCTGGCTTATGAGGGGGAACCCAAAGCTCCCTTTGCCCGGTTGTGCTTTGGTGTCACGTAGCCACGAGTTCTCCCAGGAGGCAGGGGAAGAGGGATGCCGCTCAGCCTGGCCCCTTTCATCTTCTCTCTCCTGCAGATCCGACAGACTCTGGGAGCTTTAGCTTTAAGAATATGCTGGATGCCCGAGTGGAGGGAGAGGTGGATGTGCCAAAGACAGTCAAGGTCACGGGGACTGCGGGGCTGTCCAGGAGCAGTACCCTGGAGGTCCAGACCCTCAGTGTAGCCCCTGAGGCTCTGGAAACCTTGCACCAGGAGAGGTGAGAGTGGCAGGGCTGGGGGGCTACCAGGATGGGTGGGTGGCACTTGGAAAGGCTGCTTTGGGCCCTGAGTTAACGAGCAGGGCCCTCACACTGACCTTCACCTATGGGTCATCACAGCGGAGCTCTTAAAGGTGACCATTCTGGGGGCGCCTGGGAGGCTCAGTCATTAGGCGTCTGCCTTTGGCTCGGGTCATGATCCCAGGGTCCTGTAATAGAGTTCTGCCTCAGGCTCCCTGCTCAGTGGAGAGTCTGCTTCTCCCTCTGCCTGCTGCTCCCCTGCTTGTGCTCGCTCTCTCTCTCTCTCTCTCTGTCAAATAAATAAATAAAATCTCCAAAGAAAAAAAAGAAAGAAAGAAAAAGATGACCATGTGGTCCATGGGGGCATCTCCTAACCACTTCTAGCCATCTCTTTCCACTACTTCCAGTACCACTACCCTCTCTCATTCTCTCTCTCTCTCTCTCTCTCTTTCACACACACACACACACACACACACACAAGTATGAGCATGTTCACATTAACTTGCTGTGTGACCTTGGAAAAAATCACTTTTCCTCTCAGGACCTCAGTTTTCTTTTCTGAAAAATGATGTGGTTCCATGAAAATCTCTAGGGTTCCTTCCTAAACTTGACTCTATAAAAGGGAAAAGGTCTTATCTGCTCCCTACTGAAGCTTGGGCACAGCGTTCTGCTCCCATAAATCAAGACATCTGCCCGGTCCTATACCTACACAAGGCAGCCCTTGGGAACGCTTCTCCCATGGCACAAGGGGTGTGGCTGATGCCATGTCGATGCTGGGCACCTCAAATGGGGGTGCTTGCCAGGGGAACTGACTTTTAAGTAGTTAAGTGGTGGTTGAAAGAAGGGAGGCAGGAGGGAAGTGATGGGGTGCTTAAATATTCACACAGCCTCAAAGGAGTGCAAAACACCCCACTAGGAGCCAGGGTGCATTGGAATATCTTTGTGCAAGAACCTTACAATCTAGGGCTTGTGTAAAAAAAAAATCTGTAAAACATAACTATAATCCAGGGTGAGAGATAGTGCCTAGGAGGATTTTGCCTGAGTTTTGTGGCAGGCTGGAGGGACTTCTGGCTGGGGAAATGAAGGGGGACTTCATGGAGGAGGCAGCCCATGATCCAGGCCTTGAAAGATGAGTAGAAATTGAACATGAAGCTCTGGGAGAAGGACATTAGAAGGACACATGGGTGAGAAATCTCAAAACCACTAGGGAGCATGAAGAGCTGCTTTGGCAGGAGCAGAAAAAGTATGAGCAAGTGGAGGCAGAGGCTAAGGCCCAGATCATGGAGGACCCAGGTGCCTGGTCAAGGATGTGGAACTATTCTGTAGGCTTCAGGGGAACCCCAAGGATGCTTTGGGAGTTTTTTGTTTGTTTTTTGTGGGTTTGTTTTTTTTTTTTAAGATTTTATTTATTTATTTGACAGACAGAGATCACAAGTAGGCAGAGAAGCAGGCAGAGAGAGAGGAGGAAGCAGGCTCCCCGCCGAGCAGAGAGCCCGATGTGGGGCTCCATCCCAGGACCCTGGGATCATGACCTGAGCCGAAAGCAGAGGCCTTAACCCACTGAGCCACCCAGGCGCCCCTTTTGTGGGGTTTTTTTAAGATTTTATTTATTCATTTGACAGAGATCACAAGTAGGCAGAGAGGCAGGCAGAGAGAGATAGAGGAGGAAGCAGGCTCCCTGCTGAGCAGAGAGCCCAATGCAGGGCTCGATCCCAGGACCCTGGGATCATGACCCGAGCCAAAGGCAGAGGCTTTAACCCACTGACCCACCCAGGCACCCCTGTTTTTGTTTTTTTAAGATTTTATTTATTTGAGAGAGAGAGACTCAGCGAGAGAGGGAACACAAGCAGGGGTAGTGGGAGAGAGAGAAGCAGGCTTCCCTCTGAGCAGGGAGCCTGATGTGGGGCTTGATCCCAGGACCCTGGGATCATGACCTGAGCCAAAGGCAGACACTTAATGACTGAGCCACCCAGGCACCCCCTGAGGATGCTCTGATGTGCGTGGTGATTAATCTGGCCAGACAGAGGAAGTGTGACAGCTAGAGGGCAGGCAGACAGGCAAGACATCACTCCACTGTCCATCAGAGATGCAAAATGAGGACGAGAACTGGGAAGAGCAGTCAGCATAAAGAGAGAGGAACCCGTCGGGGCTGGGGCACCCCTGGGGCACCAGAATGGACTGGACTTGATGGCTGATTGCAGGGTGAGGGAGAAGGTTTGGTCGGAGATGATGTTGATGGAGAGCCAATGTCCAACACGATAACTATGTTAATAATTGTATGCTGTCCACGGGAAATTCGCTAAGAGAGTCGATCACCAATAATGCACAAAGTGGTACCTGTGTGAGGAGGTAGCTATGTTCATTAGCTTGACTGTACCAACCATTTCTCTATGTAGAGGTATGTCAAAATATTCTGTGGGGTGCCTGGCTGGCTCAGTTGGAAGAGCATGCAATTCTTGATCTTGGGGTTGTGAGTTCAAGCCTTGCACTGGGTATAGAGATTACTAAAAACAAAGCAAAACAAACAAACAAAAAATCTAAACAAATGAACAAAAAAAACTTTTAAAAATGTTGTATACCTTAAATAAATACTTTTATTAAAATAATTACATATATGAAAACATTAAAAAATAACTCTGAGATTTAACCCAAGTGATGACATGAACAGAAACAAGAAGACAGACTTTAGAAGTATTTGGAGAGAAAGACTGTGAGCTCCTTCTGGACATTTTGAGTTTGTGGGTCCAGTGAGGCATTAGCTGAGTGACCACAGTCAACAACATTGCATTGTATATGTTGTACATCTAAAACTAACATGATGATATACGTCAATTATATCTCATTTTATTTTATTTTTTAAAGATTTTATTCATTTATTTAGAGACAGAGAGAAAGGGACCAAGTGGGGGGAGGGGCAAAGGGTGAGGAAGAGAGAGAGAATCCCAAGAAGACATCCTCCACCCACGCTGAGCCTGGGCCCGACGGGGGGCCCGTTCCCACAACCCCAAGATCATAACCCAAGCTGAAACCAAGAGCCAGACTCTCAACCGACTGAGCCACCCAGGTGCCCCAATTATATCTCATTTTAGAAGAAAAATTTTAAGGCAGTTGGATATGAGGGCCCAGAGCTCAGGAAAGAAGTCAAGGTCAAGATCCCTGTGGGGTGGTCGGCCATATAAAGATGGAAACTATAGGAATGAGGTGCGGGGAGCGGATGTTCAAGGAAGTCCAGACAGCAGAGACCCGAGAACAGAATCTTAGAGAATGTAATATTTTAAGCAACCCAAGAAACTAGCACAAGAGACACAGACAGAACAGGTAGGAATTAGAAGGCTGAAAGCTGGGAGCAGAAGCAGGGTGGCAGGGTGGGACCGAAGCCAGGAGAAGACCGAATCACGGGGAGGCTTTGGGCAGCAGGGTTGGTGTTGTGCAGAGTGAGAGAAGGTCTGTGAATGTGGAGGGTGCGAGGTTGTTGGGATTTCTGTTGAGGAGTGGAAATAGAAGCCAAATGATTAATTTAGGAGTGGACAGTGAGGAAGTAAAGGCAGTGTGAATAGGCCCATCTTTTGAGATACCTGCCAGTGAAGCAAAGGAGAAAAAAACAGAAGGGTAATTTGAGGGAGTGGCAAGATCAAAGGACATGTTTCTGGAAGCCAGCAAGCGGGGAGGAGGAACTGGTGTTAATAGCAAGAGAGAGGTTAAGAGATGGGCCCCAGGAGAGATGAACAGGACTAAGAACAGGGAGGAGGGAAGAGAGGGGAAGGGACCCTGAGGCAGAGGGAAAGGGGGGAAGGAGCAAGCAGGGGGCCCTCTTCCGGGCCAGGAGCCATGCCAGATGATTTCCTAGTTTTCCTCTCAGCATCCCTGGAGGGAGGTGTCATTACCCTCATTTTATGGATGAGGCTCCCCGGACGCAGAGTGGCTGCCCTGCCACCTGGGCTTTGGCCTCAGTCTCCTACTCTAGAGTTCTCACCCCTCTCCCTGACACCACCATGCCTCGCCCCTGTGAATGGCCGAGGAACAGAAAAGCACGTGATGGCCCAGGCGGGGAGAGGTTCTGACCCATCCCTTCGTGTGTCTCCTGCCCCAGGAAGCTGGCAGCCGAGCACCCGTTCCTGAAGGAGATGCGAGAGCGAGGGGAGAACCTGTATGTGGTCATGGAGGTGGTAGAGACAGTGCAGGAGGTCACTCTGGAGAGAGCCGGCAAGGCGGAGGGCTGCTTCTCCCTCCCGTTCTTCGCCCCCTTGGGACTTCAGGTTTGGTTCTCTCTCCCTTTCTCTCTCTCTCTCTCTCTCTCTCTCTCACACACACACACACACACACACACACACACCTGTATTTAGCCTCTCCTTGGAGCCTGCATTAAACACATTCATTTTCTCCATCGGTGCCTACCCGGGATACTGAAAATGACCCATTCCGTCTTCCTGCTATTCAAGACTCAGGCCCCTGTCAGCCAGACCCAGGTCCTCTCTCTGGTCAAGGGTGCCCAGTGTGGCCAGAGGCCTGTGCCAGATGCCACAGGGAGCCATCAGGGAAGGGGGAACTCATAGTCATGGGCCATCCCTCATGGTGTTCCTGGTGTACTGGAGAGAGACATTCTCAGTCTCACGGAGCAGACACACAGGTTAAAACCCCGAGAACACAGGCCTGGAAGATTCGATGTAGATAAGAAATGCTCCACATACCTAAACCTAGTTTGTATAAATATTCAAGGGGTGAGTTGGAACTGGGAGTAGGGTTAGTCATGGAAGGCTTCCTGAAGGAGGCGAGCACGGGCCAGATGGCAAAGAGGAAGAAGGAACTGGGCCTGTGGAAACTCTCAGGTGGGATGGAGATGCCCGGGCAGGTGATGGAGCTGGTCCGTCCAGTTCCTTTCTGTGTCTGCACCAGGAAGGGAGATACACTTCGTCAGAGGGATGATGCCAAAGGGCTTCAAAGTGTATCCCATGGAGTCCAGACTAGGTGGAAAGGCAATCAGGGACACAAATGAAAGGTTTTCAACTTCTTATCTCCCCAGAGGTGCTCGGGCCTGCCCCTCCACGTGCCCCACCCGCACCCCATGTCTCAGACTCTTGGAGGGTTCAAAAGTCTTCACTGTCTGATCCTAGGGATCCATAAACCACAAGGAGGCCGTGACCATCCCCAAGGGCTGCATCCTGGCCTTTCGAGTGAGACAACTGATGGTCAAAGGCAACGATGAGTGGGGTGAGCAGACACGGGCGTGTTCTCCCCTCCAGACAAGAATTACCCGCATTAGCACTAAGGCGTCCTGGTCCCCTCTGGTGGCGAACCAGGGAAGGAGTGCTGGAGTTACTGTATTGTGGTCCCAGCTGTCAGGGACAGAACGCAGGGGGGCTGCTCTGAAGAGGGAGTGAAGGAGCCCCTGGGTCCTGAACACCTCCAGTATGCTAGGCACTGGGTTAGCTGGGGGGGGGGGGGGGGGGGGGGGCACAGAGATGAAGAAGCTCCGCCTTCTGCTCTCAAGAAGTCTGTAGCCCATGGAGGAAACAGACCCAGATACCAGCACTAGGATGCAAGGCAGAAAATAGAGTCATCCTAGGATTTACAGAGGAAGACAAGAGTTCCTTCTGCAACAGAGGTAGAGCAGGGGATTTGGTGGGGCCTTTGGGGACAGGGACCTAGCCCTTAGCGAAGCCCATGGACTTGACAATAGAGAAGGGAAGATGGGCAGCCGTTTAAGGGTCCTCCTGCTCTCGCCTCTCTTACAGATATTCCACATATCTGCAATGATAACATGCAAACCTTCCCTCCTGGAGGTAAGTGAAATTGCTTCCCCTTTCACCCTACCCTGACATCATCTGCTAAAATCCTGCACCTTCTACTAGCATGTGCCATAATCCTTCAAGGAGGCCCTCGTTTTGTTTCCCAAGTCCCTTTATAAAAATATCTGCCCTCAACTTCAGGAAAGGGAGACAGAAGCACATAAATACTGCCCTAGAGAGACAGAGAAACTGAAAGAGACCGGAAGTCAGAAGCAGAAATAAGACTCAGAGATACTGTGTGTTCCCAGACTGTATGTGTGTCGGGGGGAAGGGAGTGAGCTAACATAATCTCCATGTGTTTTTATAATGATCACTGATAAAGCTGCCTTGACATCCGCTCTAGATAAAAAGGCACAAATAGGTTTTATGCTGACATATGTACATTGTTTCTGTCTTCAGAAAAGCCAGAGGAGAAGTTCACCCGTAAGTTTTTTCTCTCGTTTCTTATTTTTTTTTTTAAGATTTACTTATTTATTTGAGAAAGAGAGAGAGACAGACAGAGAGCACAAGTGGGAGGGGCAGGAGTAGGGAGAGAGACTCTCAAGCAGACTCCCAACTGAGCAGAGCCCTATACGGAGCTCTCTCCCTCCACCCTGGGATCAGGACCTGAGCCAAAATCAAGAGTTGGATGCTTAACCGACTGAGCCACCCAGGTGCCCCTTGACACAGAATTTTAAAACTCCAATCTTCTTCTCCTCTTCCCTGAAAGACTGACTATTTGCAGGTCTCAGCAAACAACTGTCCCCAAAACATGGCAGAAATTCCAATGGCTTAGGAAAAAGTGGTGGCAGGGGAAGACTTTAGACAGGCTACTCAGGTGGTCTGATGCCGCAGACCTCTGTCCTCAAGGGCCTCCTTAGCTGTAACCTGTCCCACGCACATCTTCTGCCCTGTTGCCCAGCATCTGGCATAGATGAGTCACTGAGTCACAGTGATGCCCACTCAGTCAATCAAGGGGCCCCTTTTCACATTGGATTAGCTTCTTTCCTGCTCCATTCCTGCCTCCCATGAATGGAGCAAGTGTAGCTTCAAGATAGCTGGGACATCCCAGGAAACAGGATGCATTTCCTAACCCCCATTAATGTTTCATCCCCTGGGCATGGCTACTGTTTTGGAGTACATTCTTGTCTTTTCTTTCCCCCCCCCACCCCCAGATGTTAGCCTGGCATCTGATGCTGGTAAGGAATTTTCTGAGTTTCTTCCAAGACTTTGGAATGAGGCAGTGGGCTGCAGAGAGGGAAAGACAAGTGCTGAGTCCCAGGTCTGGGCAACTGGAGCCGCTTCCAGAAGCTATTCACCTGGACATAGGCTTAGGATGCCAGGCCCCTAGAGGGTCAGGCCAAGATTCAAGCTAACCTCAATCCACCATACCCTTGGATAAAGACTCACCCATCCTCGCCTTCACTCAGTCACCAAAGTCATTCTTCTTTGTCGAATAACTCCAGAAGGGGAAATAGACTTTCCTTCTCAACTTTAAGCTGGAGTCTAAGAGAAAGGAAAGTCGATTGTCTACTGTCACGGGATGGGGCTTGGGAATGTGGGGAGAATCAACCGTCCCCTTAGATGATAATGTAGGTCCTGGTCCACCTCCTTGCCCTAGACCATCCCCCATAACACCTCAAGTCAGGGCTCATGGAAACTTCATAATCATGTTCCCTGGTCAAGAAGAGAGGTCAGGCTCAGGCTGGGAGCAGAGCATGGGGACCCGAGGGGGCTGGATAGGAAGGCTGCCAGACGGAGGGCGCTTGGCTTACCATGTTCACTGTCTCAACAGGGGAGGAACATGAGGACTTCAAGACACTAAAAGAAGAAGTTCAAAGAGAGATCCAAGAAGTAAAGAAGCTAAACCAGGCAGGGCAAATCTCCCTGCTCACCTGCCTCAGCAAACTTCTCGGGAAGAAAAAGGAGCTACAGGACCTGGAACTCACGGTGAGGTCCCAGAGGAAGGTTACTGGTGGGTGTGTGTGTGTGGGTGTCACAACTGGCAGAGGACAGGACAGGACAGAGGTGGTCAGCAGCTGGGAGAATCGATTGTGGGTGTCTTCCTTGAGGCTGGCCAGGTGTCCTCCCCACCCCCACCTGCTGCCACTGCCCTCCTCATGCCTCTGGAAAAGGGCACACAGGACAGCTTCCCTCAAAGCACCTGCTGACAGACAGAGGGTAGGCAGTGGGCCAGCAGGGAAAGTCCCCTTCCTCGGAAAGGGGACTGGAACATTTCCCTCCCAGAGTTCAAGGCTCAGGGACCACGAAATCCAGGAGCCCTGTACTTTTCAGAACTTGACACCTTGAAAAAGAAAACAAGGAAACGAAAGATAGTTAACATATCTCAAGGGACTCTGATGGGCCAGGCACGTGCTGGGCCCCTTACCCGTGTTATCTTAAACCGCTGCCTACCTTTCCCCGCAGCTTGAAGGGGCTCTAGACAAAGGACATGAAGTGACCCTGGAGGCACTCCCAAAAGATGTCTTGGTATCGAAGGAGGCTATGGGTGGCATCCTCTATTTCCTTGGAGCCCTAACAGGTAAGTAGAGAATAAGGTCTTCATTTATGTACCTTTTCAGTGATAGGAATGAATCACCCGGATATATGAATGAATGAATGAATGAATGAATGAATGAACAACTCCATGCATGCATGACAGGCAAATTATACCACTGTTAAAGTAGTTTATATCTACATTTAAAGAAATTGGTTAGAGGGCCGCCTGGCTGGCTCAGTTGGTAGAGCATGTAACTCTTGATCTTGAGGTTGTGAATTTGAGCCCCACGTTGGGAACAGAGATTGCCTTAATAAAATAAAACAAAATAATAAAAATAAAAAATTGTTTACCTTCCTAAGGATTCACCTGGGCACCTTGGATCATCTGAGAAGGTAGCCTAGCCTTGCTAATAGAGCTTGGGAAGTAATCCTAGTTTTACCAGTCACATAGTTAAAATTTCTACATATAGCTAAGCTCATCACTTGTTTAAAAAAAAAAGATTATTTTTATTTATTTATTTGAGAGAGAGAAAACGGGGTGAAAGAGAACAGGAGTGGAGGGTGGGGTGCAGAGGGAGAGGGAGAAGCGGCTCCCCACTGAGCAGAGAGCCTGAAGTGGGGCTGGGCTCCATCCTAGGACCCTGGGATCATGACCTGAGCTGAAGGCAGAGGCTTAACTGACTGAGCCACCCAGCCATCCCTAAGCTCATCACTTTTATATAGAAATTTGTTAGCTTTAATTTCAGAGAGTGACATCTTCTCATCTTGCCCCGAATTCTCTTCTTCCCTCTGCATGAAACATTACCCCACTTAGAAAAACTCCCGGGTCCTTCAGGAGTAAGCTGAGATGTCTGTCCTCTTTAAAAGCCTGACTTCAAGTGCCAAGTCCAAAGTAGACCCCTTGGCTATGGGTCCCTTAACACCCTGTGCAGTCCCTGCACCTGGCTTTGTCTTTTCTGCTAGCCTGCAAGTTCCCTGAGTGAAAGGGGTATGATTTTTACCCGACACCTCTAGCAAAGGTGCCTAGCATAAAGCAGCATTCAACCTGGGATAAATGTGTGGATTAATTAACTCTGAAATTACGTAAGTATACCTCTTTGGGGTCTGAAGTCCCCTTTGTACCAGCACTGCATTTTTATATTTATTTATTTATTTACCTCCAGAGCTAAGTGAAGCCCAACAGAAGCTGCTGATAAAATCGATGGAGAAAAAGATCCTACCCATGCAGCTAAAGCTGGTGAGAGAAAACTTCAGGTGCCAAGAGAGTTTGGGAGGGAGTCAGCTGGAACCCGTGGAAAGATATAGACTCGGCCTAACAATAGACTGTCCTGGCGAGCCTCTGTTGTAGGGCAGGGGCCCACGCTCATGGCTCATTTGTCTCCATGTTCTCCCTTGTTTGCTATTTTGCAACTGGAAGTAGAAGAGTGAATTTCTGGGCAGTTATCTGGGTTTTTCAGCTTGAGAAGACAGAACACCTTGGCTTTGCTTATTCACAGCCAAGACTGTCTCAATTTACTTCTGTAAAATAGGGCTAACAACAACAAAAAAAAGGGCTGCTCACCATAACAGGGTGGTTAGAAGGCCCACGTGGAGTTGTAATGTAATGAAAGGAGTTATAGTAAGAGAAAGGTAGCCCTCTTCGTGGTTCTTTTTTTTTTTTTTCTAAGATTTTATTTACTTGTTTGCCAGAGATCACAAGTAAGCAGAGAAGCAGGGAGAGAGAGGAGGAAGCAGGCTCCCTGCTGAGCAGAGAGCCCGATGCGATGCGATGTGGGGCTCATCCCAGGACCCCGGGATGATCCCAGGACCCCGGAATCATGACCTGAGCTGAAAGCAGAGGCTTAACCCTCTGAGCCACCCAGGCGCCCCCTTCTTCATGGTGCTTATAAGTTAGAAGAAAGGAGGACAGGTTTCCAGTTCTTTCTTTTTATGCTATTTTCGTTCCTTGCAGGTGGAGAACACAATGGAACAGAGTTTCCTACAGGATAAAGAGAGTGTTTTCCCCCTGCAGCCTGACCTGCTCTCCTCCCTTGGGGAAGAGGAACTGACCCTCACAGAGGCCCTAGTGGGGCTGAGTGGCCTCGAAGTGCAGAGATCGGGTCCCCAGTACACGTGGGACCCAGACACCCTCCCCCGCCTCTGTGCCCTATACGCTGGCCTCTCCCTCCTGCAGCTGCTGACCAAGGCCTCCTAACTTGCCTTTCCCACCTGCTTCCTGCCTCCTCATGCCTTCACGACCTCCCTGTGCTGTTTTCTTCACACGCAGGGATATTTTAGAGCCGTCAGGCTGAAGGTGATGGAAACCCCAGCTGATTACCCAAGATAAGTGATATCTGCTTGTCCAGCTCTACCTCTCCCCCTACCCTTTCAGCTCCACAACCCATCTGTTGATGCTTAGATCCTCCAAAAGTGGAAAAGTTCAATTTTTTTGTTTTTTGGAAAAATTCAAACCAAAAATAATTCATTTCTTATCCCAATCCTCCTGCTTAGGCTTCCAAAAATCAAGATTTACTTGAATTAATGGAAAATATTATTTCACTTTGGATGAAATGCCTTTTGATGTTTTTCTTAACCTCTGCCAGGAAAAAAATAAACACTGTCATACTACATATAGATCATGTGTATATGAATACTATTATACTGTCCACGGGCCAGTTGGAAAGCCCAGAGAAATATGAAGGTATGGAATGTAGAATCTAGATTCTAAAGTTCGAAAATCATCAAAGCAGCTTGTCTTCAAAGAGGAGGGTTTAGGGTCCTCTGGACTCCGGGTGAAGGACTGGGATGGGCTTATTTGTGATACAAACCCAAGAGTAAGGCAACTTGCAAGTATATAAAAAAGAAAATGCAGATAAGTCTTTAAAAAAAAAAAGAGTACCTAAGAAAAAGACTGGCCCCCAACTTTTAAAAAGAAATGGTGATATTATCTTATTTCACCTTTCCTTCTGCTGCCCTCAATTCAGGGTGGTTGTAGGAGGAAGTAATATGGGCTTGCCATATGGACCTGCAAATATGGTTACTGAAATCTTATAAAACTAGCGGGTTCATACCATCCTCCTCTGTCTAAAGCTGGGTTTTAACATCTTTCACCAATTTCTTTTAAAGTAGTTTTATGGGTAGAGTAATTTCTCCAAGGTTGTTGGCCCCAGGAGTCAGACTCGCCCCTTTCTTAGCCACCCTCTCCCTCCCTCCAGTTCCCTCACTCAACAAAAATTCATGATCAACTGCCAAAAACTGTGTTAAGCCATCCTCCCCCAGTCTGGCGCACCTTCCAATGCCTCACTACATTGCTCAAAGACATCCTGAATAATTATCTGCTGACCTGGTTGTTTTTCTCTTATGATGTATACTTAATAAAGAGGTGAGCTAACACCCTAACTATCCAGAAGGGTAACTTCGTAAGGATGAATAACAAAGCTCATCTGTTTTCTGTTTTCCTCCTTTACCCTTCTCGCCCACCTTCAGTTCGATAGGGTGTTATGAAGAAGAGGCTTTAATGAGTTTATTCCAGTGATGATTCAAAAGTCCTGTTATCCATCCCGCAGCCCAAGGGGACAGAGAGACAATAGGGAGGAATTGGTCAAGGCATGTTCCCTAAAGCCAGAAAAATGTTTTTCCTTCAGCAAGCAGTTGCTCAGTGCAAGGATCTATTTGCTGTAATAATATGACAAGGAGAAGACAAAGAATACCCTCTTTTTTTTTTAAGATTTTATTTATTTGACAGAGAGAGAGAGCACAACTAGGCAGAGAGGCAGGCAGAGAGAGGGAGAAGCAGGCTCCCCGCCGAGCAGAGAGCGGGATGCGGGGCTCGATCCAGGACCCTGAGACCATGACCTGAGCCAGAGGCAGAGGCTTAACCCAGGCACCCCAGAATACCCTCTTTCTATATGAACATAAAGACTATGGTCAAAGTGGGTGCCTGGGTGGTTCAGTGGTTAAGCCTTTGCCTTTGACTCAGGTCATGATCTCAGGGTCCTAGGATCAAGCCCCGCATAGGCCTCTCTGGTCAGCAGTAAGCCTGCTCCCCACCCTCCCCGCCTACTTGTGATCTCTCTCTCTCTCTCTGTTGAATAAGTAAATAACTTAAAAAAAAAAAAAAGAATTTGGTCAAAGCGTATTCTCTGCCCTCTCTGACATTACGGCAGAGCTAGATCGTCTTGTAGGGTCTGACCTGGTTTAAAACTTTGGACTTCCATCTACAGAAGGGAGAAAAGTTCAAAGATAGGGAGGGTTTTCGTTTTGTGTCGTAAGAAGTTGGGATCTTCCTCCTGCAGAATCACTGGAAGATTCCTTTGAAAAGTGGACAGGATTTCTGGTTCCATTTCCCTCCCCTGGGGATTCTTAGATTCTCTTCAGGTACACTATGACTGTGCTCCCCGTTTCACTACAGTGTCGGTTTGGGTGCAAACAGGCGCCCCGACGCACTCCCTGAAGCCTCTGCAAATAGAGGCTTCCAGCCGCTTACCTCCCGCCTCACAATATACGGCAGAGCAGAGCCTCCAGCTGACTACATTCTGGAGCTGTTTTTAATAACCCCGCGCCCGAGGGTGCTAGCTCTGGGCCGTACACAGAGTGGACCCGTATACTTCATACTGCAGTGATTGTACACAAACGCACTCTCCCCCCACCCGCACTCCCAGGCTGCTGGGATTTTATGTCTTATTTTCAGCACTTGCTAAACTCTGACAAGGAACTCTGAATCCCAATGATTTCTCCTACTCCTCCGTTCGGTGCTCACAATCCCTCTTTCGCAGCTTCTTCCCTCGCGCCGGATGCACTGGGCGGCGGTTAAGTACGAGTCTCGAGAACCTCGACCGAGACCCCAAACGCCGGGTGGGGAGATGGGGGGGTAAATGGGCGCAGATTGAGCGAGAGGCGGCCAGAAACCGCCGTGCAACTCATGACGTCATCACGCCCTGCGCTGCGATAGGCCCTACCCACTCCACGCTGGTGAGGGTGCTCTTAGGACTCCGATGTAACCCACGCTGTAGCCTGAGGGGACATCTCGTGGACGCGCCCGAAAATGCACTCCAGAGAAACAGACAATAATCCTGAAGCTCTCCAAATGCCGGGCGGACCCATACAAGCTCCTCCCTGCTCCTTCCTCGAAGATCCGCCTCCATCCTCCACCTCGGCTGTTGATTTCTTTTCCTTTTGTGGACTCGGTCTTCGGCCTGCCAGGCCTGGCGTCTCCCAGAAGGCCCAGCGTCGGGAAGGGGTTTGCAGCTGCTCCGTCATCGTGCGGCCGGTCGCGAGCCCGCGCTCGTGTGCAGGCCCAGCTCGGTTCTTGGTTTCTGGTTCGAGGATTCACGCGAGGCCCTGGTCTCGGTCCCCGGAGTAGGCCGCGACCCCAGGCGCCATGAAACAGGAGGGCTCGGCGCGGCGCCGCGGTGCAGACAAGGCGAAGCCGCCGCCGGGCGGAGGGGAACAAGAACCACCGCCGCCCCCGACCCCCCAGGATGTGGAGATGAAAGAGGAGGCGGCGGCGGGTGGCGGGTCATCGGGGGAGCCTGACAGCAAAGCGGCGGGGACGACGGCAGCGGCTGAGCACTCCCAGCGAGAGTTGGACACCGTCACCTTGGAGGGTACGAGGGCCGGGGACGTGCCGTGGTCACGCATGATAGCGGCCCGGTGATGTAGCCTATCCTCGGGACCCCAGGGCAGCTTCCACCGCCCCCAATTCCTTAGGATCACTCTCAGTGCCCGTCCCCAACCACCCTGACACTCCTGACCCCAGGCCCAATAATGATCCTTCTCTCCAGGCTCTGGACTCCTTTCTTAATCACACTTCCTCCCGCCTTACCCTGGTTGCATTTAGAAGTAAGTCTCACTGGGCCTGTGGGCTCCCTCTCTCTTCTAAGTCCTCTCCAATCTACTCTGTTTACATCCTCCGAACTGATTCTAACGCCCCCAGTATGTGATTGGGCGTTCTAGAAACCAGTGTTTGTATTTATGTGTGCAAAGGGGGTCAGGGTGACGCAGAATAACGGCCCTGAATTTTTAAGATTGTACAGAAGTTTTCTGTTGTCTTAGCTACCTCTGGCAAACTCCTCTAAGAGAAGCCTCTGTACTCCCTATCTTGCTTCCTTGTTTCTGTAATTAAGGCACCCTAACGATCCCATTGCTCTTTCTCTCCCTTCAGGCCCTTATTTTTGTTCTTAAAGAGTTTAAACACATTACAGACTTTCAAGTTTCTAGGTGTCATCTTTGTTTGAATTCTTAACGCTCAGGTTCGACCTAAGCTGTGTACCAATCCCCCCATTTGTTTTCTCCTAGGTGCTTGTTCCCAGCTTCTTACAGCCCTCTTGTTCCTCCCAAGTTCACATTTCACTTTTCTCAGAGCATCCTGTCCACATTTGGAGTGGGCAGAGTGAGAGCTTCCCACTGTGACTCTGGTGCTGTTTTCCTACCTCTGGATTGAGTGGAATGAGACTCTTTATTGGGTTTTCTCTCTTAACTGCAGGAGAACCTTTCTCAAAAACATGGAGATAAGCAAAGTTATGCTTCTGGGTGGTGTTTTTGAGGATGTAATGTTGACTGCATCAGTCCCTACTCTAAAGTTGGGCCACAGGCTCAGTATCTAATCAAGACACTTTTACCTAAAATAATGATAACCAGTGGCAAAGGTGCTACTGGATTCATACATATGTTTCTTATAAAGTACCTCATGTTGTTGTTGTAAAGTAGTTCGTGTTTCATTGTAGGAATTTTGGAAAATATGAGAAGTCTAAAGTAGCAGGGAATAACATCAGCCATGGTTGACACTTTTTTTCTATGAATTTTTGAGCTGCTCTCCTGTAATTGAGATCAAGTTACATAGATAGTTTGGAGCAAGGCATAACTAAATACAGCTGATTTTGTGTGCTTTCATCTAACATATCCATAAACCTAGCATTCAATTTATTCCAGAAAGGTTTATTGAATACCCGATATAGTGGCTAAGCATACAAGCTCTGAAATTAGTTGCCTCAATCTCTGTATATGAGAGTAATATTACCTACTTCATTGGGTCGATATAAAGATTAAAATGCTTAGAACTGTGCCTAGCACATGGTGAACTCATAATAAACCCTCTGTAGTGTTAGCAGTTACCATTATTATGCCATTAAGCAGACCCAGGCGGTCTGTGCTAAGTGTACAAAGGTAACTAAGAAACTACCAATTCAGTGCGTTCCCTTATTCTTGGACACTTGTTGTTTCCAGTTTTTTAGCATTGTAAATAGTTTTGCAACAGTCATCTTTGTGATCCAAGTTTTTATCTACCTTTATGATTATTTCTTTAGATTCTCAGTATGCCTGAGTTGAGAGGACAGATGTTTTTAAAGTTTTGGATGGGTATTGTCCAGAGAAACTACACTGATTTACATTATACCAACAGAAATATCCTGTTCATCCCTGACTCTGTTATGATTTTTTTATAAGGCACAAACT